CTAAATACAATGCCTAAAATCAAGCTAGTACTTCGAAAATTATGTATCTCTCTAAATTGTGTTCAAGACTTCGAGATTAAACTTATCCACATGTGCTAGGACAGAAGTATTGAATGAAAGTCAAAGAAAGCTGTGCGGACAAAAAATAAAATGAACTCAAATTTGCTCCAATCTAAGAATCATGCAATTAATTCAAAGCTTTGCAAACTCTCTTTAAAAAACAATTGAATTCATTGGCATATATGCACAGTCCTAAAGGGGCCACCTCGCCTAAATGGTGGGTGGGGTGGTAAGACTTATGTTTTTCAAGTTCAGTTCTACCCATTCATGAGTTTTGAACAAACAAAACTTACACAAAAAAATGATCTAATCCAGCAAACTCCTATTATTATGGATGAAAAATCAACACTCTATCACAAACTTGCTTAAAATATTACATTGATCTAATCCAGCAAACTCCTATTATTATGGATGAATTATCAACACTCACAAACTTGCTTAAAATATTACATGTTACATTTGCATGAAGCTTTCAATGCCTTTTTCAAGAAAATTTGTTTCAAAATGAAACGTGTTACCTCAAACACTTAATACAATAGCGAGTTCAACTCTTAGACAAACAAAATCCACTACAAATGACGGTCATTTGAATGAAATACAAAAACCATGGACCCAATCCTCTGCAAACAAGGAAACAAAGTTCACAAAGTCCAAGGCAATAAAATAAAATCATTTAATACCTCAATGATGGTTGTTTTGATGAAAATCTCAACCAGACAAAATTCTATAACAAACATGCCCCCAACTCCCCATCCAAATCACTTCGAATTCAATTTCTAATAAAATAATAAATCCAAATTTTTCTATTAAATTTAAATGATTCAAGTAAAATTTATCGCTTAAGCTAAAGAGAAACTATTTATTCACTCTTCACAAAAGAATGAGGAAATTAACAGAAGTAAGATAGTTGTAGCCAACAAAGAGTAAATATCATATTAAACATATGACCATGGCTACTCTCAAGGATCCTATGCCAACAGAAACGTGACACAAGCTTTTTGACCCGGTAATTTATCATCAAATAGCACCGCAAAGGACTACTATGATTGGGGTTGACCAAGCGATCTCTCATAAAATTATATCATTAAATAATCACGCCCAAAACCCAAAAACTTTCCAATGGCTCAAATCCCCATATGGGTGAATTATAGAGTATAATTGATATGACCTGAAACCATTTGGTAGCTAAAATCGATTTAAAATTACCATATTCTACAAACATCCATCCCAAATAAACAAGAATGTTGATAATTTTTTTTGTTGGTTGAGTACCCAATCTGACTAAACATATTAGGATCTGGGATAGCATAAAAATAAAATAAAATTATAGGATCTTGATCAGGTTCATTATCATTTCCGCCAACATCTGCTCTAAACTAATGACAAAATTTTCTCAGTCTCATGGAACAAACGGAGAGGATGCAAACTTGCAATTGTGGCAGCATCAATCACAACTTTTCTCTACAAATCAGTAAAATACACCGGAATTTAATGCAACAGTCAACGATAGCAACATTGAGATTATTCACAGCAATGCCTTTCAGATTCAAGAGACCATGACGAGGACTTGCGTTGACATGAAGAACTTTTGTTCACCAAGGTGCCTAGCATAGATAAGCACAAAACCATCCAGCCCTTCAAAAACAGCAAATGGTAAGGTATGAAGATCAAGCGGCATCTCCGGATCTGAAAATTTCCGGCAAATCAAACGCTTGAACTGAGAGATAGTGTTCAGCTTCAGCCGTGCCAACGAAGCGTTGCTTCTCCCCAAATCAAACAATGGCAGGAGTCTCATGCTTGGATTCATCGTTGAGAACGACATCAATTTCACGTTGTTGATCTACAACTACAATGCAGCTCTCATTGTCGAGATGAAAACCTACCACGCTCATCTTCTACCAATTATCTAAACTTGAAGGAGCTTTATGAGGCCACCAAGAATAGGACAGTGATCGATCTACTGCCGTTGGGGAGGGATTTCTGGTGAAAAAAACTACAGGGAAACGAGTTCCGACGACTAGGAAATGCTACAGGAGAGAGTTCCAACTGTTGGAAAAGCTGCAGGAAAGAATTGGGGGGGGGGAGAAAATTTCCAGCATAAAAACTAAAAAGACAATGTTGAGGAAGGGCTTGCAGCACAGCAAAAATTGCCAGCTGCAAGGAATAGGAAGTTTCCAGCGACATGCGGCTGTAGGATTTGTTTCAAGACTCTGAGACCATGTTAAAATTCAGAATAAAACAGAATTATTTTATTGATATGAAAGAGAGTACAAATAACCCTTATGTGAATCTTATAATAGAAAAGAAAATAAAAAGGAAATAACATGAAAGGAAAGATATATCACATAATTTATCTAATTAATATATTCATATTATTTATTCGAAGATAAAGAAAACAACATAAAATAGAAAAGAAAATAAATCTAATGCAATAAAATAAATCTAAAATAGGAAAGGAAATAAAGATATATTAGGAAATAAATCTAATCTTCATAACTTCTAATATGAATAAATTATTTCCTAATATAACTTCTAACATGATATTTAGTAAAATCCATAAGTTGATAATGGAAGGAATCGAGAACCAATTTTGAAATACATACCAATTTAAATGTCATATAAATAAGCAATTTCATCTGCTACTCCCTTGGGTGAACTAGAAGATAAAACAAGTATGTGCTTCCTAGAATTTAATTTAAAATCAAATTTTGACTTAGATTGAATTTTATGCAAGCTCATGTGTCGGTTCAGGAAAGGGCTTAAGACTCATGCATAGGTTCATGCTCAAGGTTATGGCTTATAAGCCAGCCTTTAAATTAAAGGGGCGTTGGCATCATTGTGTAGGCAAAGGGGCAAGTGGTAGGCTAAAATATATGAAAAATAAATGAAGGGTGGTAGAACTTGGAAGAAGAAAAAACCAAACTGTTCCATAACATCAAAACTTTTAGAAAGAGGGAGGACATCGCACCAAGACCAAGATTGTCTTTTACGCTAATAAAATTCTTATCACCAAAGAGAATGAATCACATTGATCAAAGCTAGGTCTGATTTGTTTGAATGGTGCTTGAACCGGTTATTTATAGGCAAAGAACAATAACCCTTGCAATTGTAGGTAATTAAATTTAAGTCCTAGAGAGCACAAATGCCATAAACAAGTTAAAAAAATAATAATTAGACACCATCAAAAGCTTTAATGTCTAACCTAAAATAATGTATGTTGGGATATCAATGACAATGATGGATGTATAGGTTTCGTTGAAGATTTTATTGAAAAGGCTACTAAAACTAAGAGTTCTTCCAGAAAGTATTTCCTAATCTTAAAGGCAAGGAGAAAGAAAACAGACAAAACAAAATACAACTAAGATTTCGAATGTGAATTGTTTGTGGCTCGCTAATCAAAATAAGATTCCTGTGAACATTTGGATCTAGTCCATACTGGCAATGTCAATACTGTACAGAGAATGTCAAAGTAGCATTTTCTAGAAATATTTTCGTCCCCCCATCCCAAACCATGCATACAATGTACTTACCTAAAAAGATTCCACTGCAACAAGAATTAGAAAAACAATATCAACAAATATAAAAGAAACCAAGCCATTAATTAATTTGTAAAACTTGGAAAGTAAACAATCAATTGAGAAGGAGGTTCTCCGCTTGGTTTTATATATGATGTAAAAACATATGCATCATAATGATCGTGCCTTAGTCCTACCCTTCAGATTAAGTCATTGGCATGGATTTTTTAAATGTTCTAAAACATGCCATGCTGCAGAGATATCACTTCTTTTTTTACTTGAAATTTTGGGAGGATTCAAATAATTCCACTAAATAAAGCATCAATTGATACGTGTCATGGAGACAACCAATTCACAATGAGCAACTATCCTATGCAAAAAAGCTCAATCTAGAGTAATATTTTTTAATATTCTTCTCATAGCAAAACTCGATGTCTGCAAATTGAAGTCAAAATGTAGGCATGTACACTAGAGCATAACCCCAAAAAAATATTCATCTAGGAGAACTAAAATAAGAGAAGGCATTAGAAAACACAATTCAATGATGTAGGAAAAGGTGCATCAATTTTTCATTGTTTTAATGGATGTTAAAGCTCCACATCCTAATGTTTTACTTAGGGGTCTGTTTGGGGCAGTTGTAGCTTATTGAATAATCCGTGAATAATCTACTGATAAGCTAGGTACGGTGGCTATTACAATTTTTTATTTTTTTTTGAAAAGTCAGACAGTTGTCAATAAGCTATCACCGCACCTAGATAAGTGTGGTGTGAAAACGCTGCTTTCTGCATTTTGAAAACGCATAAGCTGTCAAAACGCAGTTTACCCAAACAGGTCCAGTGCAGTTTACCCAAAAAGGTCAAGTGCGTTTTCAAAACACCACCGCACCAAATAAGCTGCCCCAAACGGACCCTTAAAAAGAAGAAAACATCTGAGCATACGTGGGAAATGAGTTGACTGACACTCAGCATATAATTCATGAGATAAACTCCACTCTTTCATCAGGCACATATTCATCATCACCATTAACTTTATCCAAACAATTTGGGATCGGCTTTATGGATCCACCATCTTATTCTTTCCAATCAAGAGCTATACAACAACAAAAACAAAACTTTTATCCCACTAAGAGCTATACGAGAATTAATTTTATTGTGCACATCTTTGTTGCACACCTTATAACAATGGTATATTTGGTCTACCCATCTTTCACCCCAATCCTTCGACACAAACCCTTGTTAATTAGTGAGAATAATGCTAAAGTTACTGCTTATTAAGAATTCAAAAAACAATGTTTAGACAAGCTATGCTCCAACCTGATGCCAGATTGGGTTAGCAAAAAAATACAAAGAAATCAACGTGCAATAACCAAATACAAATAGCATGATATAATAACTGAATGTACTAGCAAAACTATAAACATTTTACCTCATCACGACCATAGTTCTCCCCACTGTGTGGATCAAACAGCACATCTCCAGTCGCTAGCTCAAAGCAGATGCAGGCAAATGACCACAAGTCTGCAGATGTAGAGTACTTGGAACCTAGGAGCACCTCAGGGCACCTATACTGCCTTGTCTGGATATCACTCGTGAACTGCTTATATGTCCAACAAGCATTCCCAAAGTCTACCAGCTTGCACCTTAGGTCCACCTCCATTGCCAGCTTTTTCCTAGTCCCTCGACTTCCTCTTCTATGTGTCTGTCCTAGCAAATTACAGGTTGTGCCATCACCATCTGTTTTCAAGGATGGACCTACCTTCTCCTGAGTCCCATCGGAAGCTGATATAGCAACATCCTCACAATCAACTGTGGCTGCCGCAGCACGCTTTGCTTTTCGTCGGATTTTTTTCTTCTGATTTCGCGTCAGATCACCATTGGATGCAGCAGATGTCTTCAGTGGTGACTCGGGTTTCTTGATGGTGGGAATGTAAGGAGGAGCAGTTGATTTTCGTGGATCCTTTCCTGGGTCGATGGTGGATAGAAGAAGGATATTTTCTGGTTTGAGATCGGTGTGTATTATTGATAAATTTTGATGTAAATAATTTAACCCCGTGAGTACGTATTTACAAATCTCCTTCACCATGGAAAGAGGTATACCGCGGTAATCTGCATACTTGATGAGTGTGAGAAGATTGTCTCCTAAAAACTCAAAAACCATACAGACATGGAGCCCGTTCGGCCCCGAATGCTTGAAGTGATCGAGAAGCTTCACAACACACTGGGTATCACTCGGGTCTCCATCCGCAATCTGCTTCAGGATTTTGATTTCATCCATGGCTGCCTCGGTGTAGTGTTGTGCGCTCTTCTGCACCTTAAGCGCCACATACCTCTGCAAAAACGAGTTCGATCAATGAATAGTTTTTCAACTTCCAATCAATCTCTACTCCAACCAATCTGTCATTCAAGCTGCAGTGTGGCCTTTCTTCTCTCATCGAGCGGACATAAAATCACAGCAAACAAAAGGGCGGGATTAGGGTTTTGGTAGCTTACAGAGTGGACGGTGTCCCATGCGAGCCAAACAGTGGAGAAGTGGCCCCATCCGAGCTTGGACTGCACGACGTAGGTTCCCTGCTTAAAGGAGTCGCCGACCCTAACAGCATGGTACCCTCCTCGCCGGTAATCCTCGGTTCCTTCGTCCTCTGAAGTGTAATTGCTGCTCTCGCTTCGCGCTTCCTCCTCCATGGGATCACAGGCGAGATCTGATGCAACTGGTTTACAATTTCCGTTGGGTATATCCCCTCGCTTCTGCCGCTCCGCTCTGCCGCCACCTAAAATCCCTCTCCAAGCTTCACTCGCGCTTGTCAGCCCAGCTGGAGGAGAGAGCAATTAAGAAATGTGATCTGGTGCACCGGCGGATTTATATATCGAAATTTATTTCAACCGGATAGCCGGCTGTCATTTGGAGTCCGGAGACTTTGGATTGAAGGCCAAAATAAGGTAAAATTGAGCAATCAACCGGATTTCTTTCATTAATTATGTAGGTATTTTAAATATAAATAAAAAGTATATATATAGTATGGGAGTCGGCTAAATTAAGAAATATTTTTAAAGTAGATTTATTCCTATTTTTTTCCTACTAAAATTTAACCTTCAGATTTTTCAAGGCCAACTATCTTTTTTGTACTCTATAATCATACTCCCATTAATTAGTGGGTGACTCGCATGCTACCTTCAGATTTTTCAAGGCCAACTATCTTTTTTGTGCTCTATAATCATATTTCCATTAATTAGTGGGTGACTCGCATGCTATTAAATATAGTTTTAACATATTACTTTAACAAAGTCCAAATTTAATAAATATGAAATAATCAAAGAGGATTGTTCTAATCCACCTAATTGAGTATTTTAATTTTTAATAAATATAATTAGTAAGTGATTAATAATATATAAATTGTCTTTTACTTCGCACATGAGTTGAGCTCGGGATATTTGTTAGATTTAAATAGTCCAAAAAGATTTCCCTACTAACTAATCGACGTTGTTCATCATCGCCAACTCTCATATGGTCCTGGTCGTCGACACCCAACATTAACAATTGATGATTTTTGTTATCATCATATTATCATATGTTTATTATTCCTTTCAATGATCTACGACGATATCTACATTTGCTTATAACGCTAATGTTCTTTGTCAACGATGTTAATAATTGTTGTCACCGTATTTGATCATGAATCAACCTTTACGCTTGTTCTGATTCACAATTATTTCAATATATTCACTAGTTGGATATAAACAATTGTTAATGTGTTTTTTTTTCTAGTTAAGAGGAATGACGGTGTTTAGAAATTTAAACCATTGGGAGATTTACATATATATCAAACAATCTTTTTCTAAAATAATTACATTTTAATATTTGTATGTAAAATATTTTTGAATCTTTTACATTTGGTATCAGAGCGCCTTGATTAATCTCTGCCTTACTTACTATGTTTTATCAAAATATATAAATAAAAATGTGAATTTTATCTTGTCAATTTTAATATTAGTGGTTGACATGTGCTAGAGAATTTGTTACTATGGGATGAAGAATTATTATCTCAGTGTTAAACGAGAATTCAATATGCACTTGAGTAATAAGAGTGAAGAGTATAAATACTATAAGTTTTTTCATGAAAATCCAGAAAGAAAAAATCACAAGATATAGCTCAATTTAAAGGATTCACTATAAGTTGGTGATTGCATTAATAGAACCATGCCAAAAAAGCGAGAATGGGCCACATAATTCATCAAGTTACAACAATCGTGTGCAAAATAGCTCGTTGCTCTACGATAGGGAACAATCACATCCATGAGTGGTTGTGGAAGTTTTAATGCACCATATTTAAGGTTGTCATGGTGTTCAGGATGATGTACCAATTCGTAAGATGCTCCATAACTATGCAACAATCGTGTGCAAAAGATTTTGTTCTTCTAAAAAATATGATCTTCTTCTTGCTATAGGTCTAGGCCTCCCTTGATATGGGGGGTAAGATTCTATTTATAAATTTTGTGTTGCAAATAATTAATGAATTTGGACCACTTTCATTGAAGAGCCATGGGAGGCTCCCTCAATTGGAATATGTTATATAGATATTTAAGTGTCATAATGATGCCATAATTGAGTAATACTGGGCTCGTCGTATTTGTTTTGTCGGATGCTTGAATAATTTGATACTTTTATCATAAAGTTGTTAAATGAATTTATTTGAGTAGAATTTTTGCCCACATGCAAGTTCTATGAAACTAGATTCAATAATTTGAGCATGATTTACATTGGTAAAACATGATATTTTATTTTCTGGTCTCAATAATAAACTAATAATAATAATAATAATGAGCTTGTATTTTTATAATTTTTGCAGTTATTCAACCTTCAAATATTTCTGATTTTAAGTGTGATATTCCCGAATTAAAGGGTGATAACTATAAGGTGTGGAAAGAGAGAGTTCTTCTCCATTTAGGATGGATGGATATTGATTATGCTATAAGAAAAGACGAACCACCTACCATTACTGAAACCAGCATTCCGGATGCTGTTGATCTTTATGAAAAATGGGAGCGATCCAATCGCCTCTCTATGATGTTCATAAAGACCAAGATATATGCTGGTATCCGTGGTTTTGTCAGTCATGGTGTTCAGGATGATGTACCAATTCGTAAGATGCTCCATGACTATGCAACAATTGTGTGCAAAAGATCTCGTTCTTCTAAAAAATCTGATCTTCTTCTTGTTATAGGTCTAGGCCCTCTCTTAATATGAGGGGTAAGACTCCATTTATAACATTTGTGTTGCAAATAATTAATGAATTTGGACCACTATCATTGAAGAGCCTTGGGAGGTTCCCTCAATTGGAAGATGTTATATAGATATTTAAGTGTTCTAATGATGTCATAATTGAGTGATATTGGGCTCGTCATATTTGTTTTGTCAGATGCTTGGCTTATCCATCAGCTTGTTTTATTTGAAATTTGTTTGATCTTCCAACTGTTCATTGAAAGTTTTCCAAAAGTTGTTCAACTGTTTGATCTGGGATTGGTTAGACTCAAATTAGACTAAGTTTAGTATCATTATATATGTTTCATAAAGCAGATTTGTTTAATTATAAGTTTATTGAAAAAAAATCTAGATGACTTTCAATATTAGTTTGATTATTTATTATTAAAAAATTTGCTTTGAGATTCATGTTAGATGATTAAAATTTGTTGATGGTGTATAAGTGACATTTTTATGTGATGTTAAAAACATTGCCATTATATTTAAGGGGCTTTATGACAACGGATGAGCTTTAACCTGAGTGAATTTAGTAAATCCAATGTTGGATGGTTAAATCACATGAATAGTCAGACAACCGATTTAATAATTTTAGTTAAACTAGGTTAAACTGTTTGAAAATTTTGATAGGATTTGAATGATTGTTATGTTCGTTAGAATAAAAAATATAATTAAACGTTGATTACTTTATTATTATGATTGAATTTTATTATTTAATTGATTACTTTATTTATAAAATTTAACCAGTAAATATATATATATTCACAAAACTAATTGATTGCCAATAAAATTTTCACTAAATCAATTATTTATCAAACAATAGTTTAACATTTATAAATAAATAATGAAGTAGTTATTAATTATGTTAACTAATACTTATTTATAGTTTTATTGATTGTATAAAAAATGAATATATATTTTTTTATTAATAAATAAATAAATAATGAGTATATTTTTATATAATTATAAATAATATGATAATACATTAATTAATTCATTAAATTAATCAAACTAGTACGAGTAAAAACAAATAAAAATCCTGCTAGAAATCATTGCCTCCATCATTGTCTTCCCCTCTCCTTGTATCATACAAACCATCGCAATTAAAGCCTTATTGGAAGGCATCAATGGAATTGCGACGCCCAAAGACCACCAAAATCATATAAGAAAGTGCATTTACATTAAATAATAAATTAATTATATAAATTAATAATCATTTTAAGTTTTTGTAAACTATTTAATTATTAACTAATAAAATTTAGTTAATCAATTATTAATTACATAATTGAAGAATTACTTATAAATTTATTAAATAATTTAAAATATTGATATGTTTTTATTTATTAATCATATATTAAATAATTACATATAAATTTATCTATTGTAATTAAATTGGTAATAAAAAAATTAATAATAGATTATTAACCAAATAATTAATTAAATTAAATTAAATCCGCAAACCCGTCTCCATCTTCCTGGCTAAAAGCCTGAAACATTCCCCCCTCTCCAGTTTCGCCAAGCCTACCCGCATATAAATTTATCTATTGTAATTAAATTGGTAATATACAAATTAATAATAGATTATTAACCAATTAATTAATTAAATTAAATTAAATCCGCAAACCTTTCTCCATCTTCCTCGCTAAAAGCCTGAAACATTCCCCCCTTCTCCAGTTTCGCCAAGACTACCTACCCGTTGCCCCAAACCCTCGCTTATGTCACTCCCCCTCCCGGTTTCGCCCAAAACCATCGCCTTCGTGAACGAACCTTCGCGATACAGTAGGCATTAGAGCTAGCTGGGAAGGCAACGTCGGGATCGCGGTGTACTGTGACCAGCGAAACTACCGTCTCTCTTCCGATCCGCTCCTATAAAACCAGAAACCATTGAGTAAGGTAAGCCTGTTCGCGTCATTCTTCCTCTTCGCTCGTCCCGGATTTACTAAAAACGCCGATTCACAGGATTTAGTAAATCCCGGATTTATCGCGAATCGGTTGAGATTTACGGGAGCTCAGGATTTACAGAGGCGCTTTTTGCCCTTCGGCAAAACTCAGCTTAAATCCTGCTTAAAAACTGGCTACCAAACAGCTTGTTGTCTTTTAAATTATCGGATTAGATTTGATTTGAAGGGTTTTTTTTGTGTTTTTATTATTAATTCTTTTTAACTTTGATTGCTATTATTCTCTTCTAACGTATCGAGCTTGAGTTGGAAACTTGTTTAGCTGAATGGGTCGGGAAATGTTCCACTGCTCCCTGTTTATTTCAATTACAGTTTTTCTTCATTGCCGAAGCTTTGGTCCTGTTTGGGTTATGGTTAGGTGAACTTCAACGATTTTACCTAATTGCCCAAATTTTCTGAGGCAGCTCTGTTGGTTCGACCATATGGAAATCTAATTGGTTTTCAGTAATTAGTATGATTAAATGGCAGTTAATTCCTCTTTTTGGCATGGTGTGTCTCCTGCTCCTGCGTTCAGAGCTAACTTTAGTGGGGGACTGAGTTACTTAATTCAGGTTAATTTCTGCTATTTTTGTGGTTGGTTTTCAGGTTATTTTCCTTACCCATGCATTTTGTGCGATTGTGCTGGTGTCGTTTTAGAAGCATCCGACATGTGTTATGACACATTGGATGATACAGCTGAACTCTTCTAAATTAATTGAGCTGTTAAATTAATTTAAGTTCAGAATAATTAGAACAAATAAGTCTCTGCTGTATAATTTTAATGAGCTTTAAATCAGTTGTTATAAATATTCTTATTTGAGGATATAGTGATACTTTGGAGTGGTAGGTGTATGTACCTTAGGTCTGTTTTACATAATAAGTTGGAGTTTATGAGCACATGTTTTCTCGAATTAAAGCCGGGTGACCAATTAAAAAAGCATTTCAGGATTACTCATTTATAAGTGAATTGCATGAATAATTAAAGGCAAATTTCTTCAAAGTTGCTATTGGTCGTTCTATTTCATATGAATCCAAGTGTTGGACTGTAAAGTTAAGCATGGTGAAAGTAAGGATTTAAGATTAATGTGGAGAAAACAAGATGGTCAGTATGTGAGAGGAAAAGTGAATATATGGAGAGATTTTGTACGCAATGAAAAATATAGAAGCTATAGGATTTATTGATTTGAACAGGTATGAAAATCAGAAATGCACTGATAATGTGTACATATGAATTTAAATAAAAGAGAGTAAAGAAATGGCGTATTTTGAACATAAAGTCCTTAAAAGTTGCCATGAGTTATTTTGTTTGATTTCACCTTTGCTTAAATCAAAGAAGATTGATACTGTATTCTTCATCTCATTGAGGTTCAGAGATCGGAGGGTTTACTCTTTGCCTGAAATTTGTGCAAACATTGCAGTTTAACACACACACACACATACATGTGCATATCTATACTTTCTATTAATTCATTTTATATTTATAAGCTGTTACATTATCTTATTTTCTTTCATGCATACATATAGATAGACACACATATATACATACATACATGTGTATGTCTATACTTTATATTAATTCATTTTATAATTGTAAGCTGTTTCATTTTCTTTTTTTTTTCCATTCTTTTCTTTTTCAAAATAAGTACTTGCTACATATATATGCTCATCATAATCATGAAGTATTTATCTAGTCGTTATTTGATTTATATTGTTCATTCCTAACGTCAGTGATGCGAACTCCATGCTTTGTTTCTCTAACAGGAATGTTCGATCCTGTAACGGGCAATTTGTTTCTAGTTGTTATATGTTGAAGAGAGTTCGTGTGAGGTGATGGTAGTTGTAGTATGTTACTTGTGGTGCAAGAGAAAGCAATTCATGTGCTTGACCGCGTGCAAGTTTTTTACTGAAGTAGTTGAAATATTATTGCCGCTGGATTTTTTCTAAAAGCAAATTATGCTTGAGATTTAAGGGCGATTTGCATTGCCAACCTTTCTTGTCCACGAGTCTTCTGTGAAATTCCACAGCTAACTGTTACAATGTTAGATGCTTGACTCAGGATTTTGGTGGTGCTCTGAAACTGTTGAGAATGATCTAAGCAATTGACTTTATTTTGGTATTAGCTCGAGTAAAATTCTTTTGGGCATTTAATGATAGTTTTTATGTTAATAAAAATTTTCAGAATTATTTCCACTTGTGTGCCTGTTGGGTACTGGATTCTTAGTTTGGCTACCTTCTTTTTCAGGAGAAGACTTATGTTTGTTCCGGCAAGAGGCGTAGCTGTTCTTATTTTGTGATCTATCACCTTGTTATCTTTTTGTATAAATAATTTAATATAGATCCCAACAAGTTTAGTATTTTTTGGTAAAACCTACCCCAACTTGATTATTTGGCCTAGGCATGACTTATGATCTAAGTGCGTTTTCATGGATTTAAATTTCTCACTAAATTTCTAATTCAACGATCATTGAGTTATTGGAGCACATTCTTTATACTTTTTTGGCTTGCTTGAGAAGGAAGTGAGTGATTGTTTTAATTGGTAATCTTTGAGCAATGAATTTATTTTATGATTTCTTGTATGTAATTAATCACATTGTTTAGTTGCATTAAGAACTCTAGACTCACAGATGTCTACATCAAATGCTTAATTATTTGAAGCACAAATTTTCCGAGTCAGATAGATTGATTCAGACTCCCTCCATTCTTGTTGCATATACGGTCGGCTGTTGTAACCAGGTTTTTTGTTTTCAGCCCCTGTTTGGTGAAGCAATCCCCATAGCTGGTTGTGTCAAATGGAAGAGCAATTTGCGTGCCCTGTTGCCTTTGGGATTTCCACCTGCATAGTTGGCGCACCTCGTCGCTTGCAGTACTTATGCTTTAGTAGCCAGTCTTCCAACTCTGAGGGTGATCAACATTGGCAACCTTTATCCTTATTCACTTATCCTCCATGGAATTCTACAATTTACTGCTATCTTAATTTTGACTCGAAACTTTGTAGAGTTCTAATATTGTTATACTGATCAAAGCCATCATTTCCCTTTTGATATTGCCTATAATAATTGATTGTTGGTATGTAATTGATAGTAATTGATATATTAAATTTTTTTAGTTCTCTGCAAATCTTGTGCTTCAGGGATGTTGAGTTCTCTGTGTATGGTGCATGTCTGACTATTTATTCACAGTGGTCTTTTTCGTGTTTCTGGCTAGACCTAAATTTTTTTATTAATAGTATGTTATCGTTCTCTATTTTTTGCTACCTATTTTGATTTTAATTTTTATCAGTGATTGAATTTATTCAGCACTATTATAACTTCTTAATTGAGGGTATGGTTTCAATTTCTAACTAAATTTCTAATTCACTGACCATCGAGTTTTATTTGGAATGATTTTTTTATTTAAAGTTCCATTGAAGAAAGCACGTGATTGTTTCAGTTCTTATATTTTAAACTTAAAATTGTAAATCTTGGTTGCTTGGGCTTGATGCGTCATAGCTTTTAATTTTATTAAGAATTCTAGATCTTAAAAGGCAATATACATTTAGTATCTCATTATGCAGCACCCTTTAAAGTTGTATATTAGGTGTATGAGGGCATGGTTTCTGTTTTTATTAAATGTATACTGATTTTTTTTTTCAACAGACTGCAGGTCCTGAAGTCTTTATAATGTTTCTGCTGCGAAATACACATCCTGTTGCCCCAGATCTACCTTCTATTTCAGAAACGAAGCGCACCAAGGATGTTAGAACTGAACCCAAACCAGCTACAACATTGGAGGGTCTTATCGCCGAAGATCCATTTCCAGTTGAGAATGGTGATAAGGATAGTGACTTAAGCGGTGGATCTACGGTTTCCACTTCCAAGTTCCATACCGATTTTGGAAACCACTTAGACGTTGCCGAAGATGAAGGATGGATAACAATTCCAAAAGGTATGTGTTGCCCCAGGGCTTACGGGCAATTTAGTCTTTTTTTATTATTGTTTGGTATTAATAGGGCTTAATATTTTGGGTTAGGTTATGATGACATTGTTATTTTGAGTGCTAGGGTTAGGGTTTGGGAGAGATCGCCTACCTCTCGAATTGTAAGTGATTATATTTATTCATTCGGATCGTGTACTTTCGTGTTATTAAAAATAAATATTTGGTGGTCATAATTTCTGTGGAAATTCGTCTCCCGTTTCTATCAAAATTGTATTAGAGCAATTTAGTCCCACATTGAGGAGAAGGCATTTTTTTTGGGAGGGGAGAGACAATGTTAGTTACACCAATGACTAAGGGCAATTTAGTTTTTTTTTTTTTAAATTAATTATTGTTTGGTATAAATAGGGCACCAAAATCCATTTCTTCCTTCTCTCAACACCAATGACTAAGGGCAATTTAGTTTTTTTTTTTAATTTATTATTGTTTGGTATAAATAGGGCAAAATCCATTTCTTCCTTCTTCTCGTTGCTCCCCTCTGTTTCCCACACGACAACAACACCAAAATCATGCATCTGTCCCTCAACCCAAACCCCACACCTCTTTCATATAACCCGCAACAACTCCACTGCTTCTAGTCATGAACACTCGCCGACAATCCTGCTAGTGAACTCCCGACAAGCTTTTTTTGGCAAGCCACTCAACTCTCTACTGCTACAGCAACTCAATTTCACGGCCTCTCTCTCTCTCTCCCCTTTCATGCAAAGCCGTTGGTAGCCACTCTCCATCCTGATCTCCAAAATCTGACGCGACAATCTCCCTCGCACACCCATAAGCTTTTGCAACAGCTTGTCACCTAGCTCATGCACCTACCCATTTCCTACCTTCACTTACCGCCGTTCTGACCCTCTTCGGCGAGATCTCATCACAACATCCTGTGGCCTATCCTTGCCTCCACCCATCGCCAATAACTCATATACTTCATTCTAAATTACGTCCAAATAATGCTTATAATGAATAATTATATCTAAGTTAAATTGCAATAAATAAAGTTTGCAAATTTTAAATCATTGGTAAATTTGGGACTTAAATTTATATAAAGAGAGAAGAGAGAGAGGGAGGTGGAATTGAAAAATAAAATTTGCACAATTTTTACAGGGACTCGATGAATCGTTAATGAGCTCGAATGCAACACGTAATAAACACATTGGCTCACCTTTAAATACAAATGAGAAATTCTATTGACTAATCACAATCATTAGAATTATGCATTACAAGGGCAAGGGGGTCTAACTGAACACTCAAATGAGGGCTAATTATGGGAAAGATGCATGACCTTAAAGATACAACTAAGATCTAAAATGTCTTCAATCGCCATTGGATCTGCACCACTTTTGTAATAGTAGACATAATGTGAATTTTAGGATTAATAATGAAACCTTGCATGTTTAGGGGACTCGACAATTTGTCAATGAGCTCGAATGAAACATGTACTAAACTCATTAGTTCATATATAAATGTAAATTAGGCATTGAAAAGAGCATGCACCAGACAGAGGACTCAAAAACTGATCAACGAGCTCTAATGAAACATGTGAAACATACCGGCTCACCTATAAATGCAAATGAGAAATTCTATTGACTAATCACATTTATTAGAATCTTGCATTGCAATTACAGGTCAGGTGGTCTACTTAAACGCTCAAATGAGAGCTAAGGGGATATGTTCATAATTTCAAAATATTCAATCAAAATATAGAATGTTTTAATCGTCATCAAATTTACAATACATTTGCTAGAGAACATGAAGATCCTTTTTAAAAATTAAAAATGACATTTTGCTCGATCGTCACTGGATCTGTGCCACTTTGCAATAGCAGACTAAAGGTGAATTTTTAAACTTCAATATGAAATCTTGCATGCTCAAGAAATTCGACAGCTCATCAATGAGCTCAAATGAAACCTATAGTTCACTTATAAAGGTAAATGAGGTAAATGAGACATTAAAAAGAACCCACACTATAGAGGCCTAGACGACTCATCAACGAGCTTGACTGAAACCTTTGATGCATACATTAATCTCACTTATAAATGCAATCAAATTTATTTGAAACCATACACTACAATTATGGGGGAGGGTTCACTTGAGCACTTAAGTGATAGCTAAGTGTGGGAGAAATGTATAACTTTAAATACGCACCAAAATTTGAAATGTCTTCAATCTCCACCGAATTTGAAATACACTTGCTAGCAAACAAAATACGATCTATTTTAAAAGCCAAAAATAAAATTTTGGACATTCGCCACCAGATCAACAATCCCTCTGCACTAGCGGACAAAAGGTGAAATCAAGGGTTTAAATGAAATATTTGTATACATTTTAATGGTAACACATTCATGCAAATAACAATAAAATCTCCCCAAAAGTCAGTCCAAATTCATAAATTTTGATACCCGCATCTGTTCTTTCCCTTGCCTTAATTCACTAAATTAAGCGTCTGAGAATGTTGTACAAGTCAATTGCGTGCTTAAGCTAAAACACAATTCATCCCGAAGAGCGTGCACATTTCCATGTATTCAGTTTTAGTTCTACTTAAACGAAGGCCTTTAGTATTCACATTTCAAAGCTTTAAAAAAATTCATTTCTAGTGGACATAAGACGAAATCAAGGTTTAAATGAAATATTTGTATATATTCAAATGATAACACATTCATACAAATAATAATAATATCCCCCCAAAAGCCAGTCCCCTTAATAAGGCTTTACATAGAATGAGTTTTGATAATCTAACCAACAAACTAGGTTTGATCGATATTCATAATTCAATTTAAGGTGTGTGTTGAAATAATCTTGTATTCGTGGCAAACATATTTTCATCTACTACAATGAAACAATCTGCGGACAACACCACTCCAACAATTGATTACTTTTCATCCACAACAATCCAAGATTCAATGGACAATAGTTTGTCATCTACATTAATCTATCAATCACCGGTCAACTGCATTTCCTTTCTACATTGTTGTTTATTTTGGATTACAAAGTTAAAAAGGAAGATCGCCATAAATACCACACAATTCCTATTTATTTGCATATCTAACATCTAGCCTTTGATTTTTACATCTATACCACTATGCCTATGTTTAAAAAAGTGTGTTTCACTATTAAGAAGTTAGTAATATTGGTATTTTTTATGTGATATGAAAGATTTGAGTGCATAAATCGCTTTGGACAACGGACCCAAGATCTCTAAATCGATCACACATTTTAATAATTTGATGACCCAAAGTCACACTTCTGACACTAGAGCTATTACTACTAAAATTACATTCCATGTATTCAGTTTTAGTTCTACTTAAACGAAGGCCTTTAGTATTCACATTTCAAAGCTTTAAAAAAATTCATTTCTAGTGGACATAAGACGAAATCAAGGTTTAAATGAAATATTTCTATATATTCAAATGATAACACATTCATACAAATAATAATAATATCCCCCCAAAAGCCAGTCCCCTTAATAAGGCTTTACATAGAATGAGTTTTGATAATCTAACCAACAAACTAGGTTTGATCGATATTCATAATTCAATTTAAGGTGTGTGTTGAAATAATCTTGTATTCGTGGCAAACATATTTTCATCTACTACAATGAAACAATCTGCGGACAACACCACTCCAACAATTGATTACTTTTCATCCACAACAATCCAAGATTCAATGGACAATAGTTTGTCATCTACATTAATCTATCAATCACCGGTCAACTGCATTTCCTTTCTACATTGTTGTTTATTTTGGATTACAAAGTTAAAAAGGAAGATCGCCATAAATACCACACAATTCCTATTTATTTGCATATCTAACATCTAGCCTTTGATTTTTACATCTATACCACTATGCCTATGTTTAAAAAAGTGTGTTTCACTATTAAGAAGTTAGTAATATTGGTATTTTTTATGTGATATGAAAGATTTGAGTGCATAAATGTTAAAATTGAAGTTTTGGTGTTAGATATGTAAATACATAAGAATTCTGTTGTATGTATGTAAATGCCCCAATTACAAATTATTTTTTTGGATTTTGTTTATTTCGTAGATTGCTGTATCTCCACCCATTTTTTACTATTTTTTATCTTTTATTTTTTTCCACAGAAGATGAGAAAATATCCCCTTTTTTTGTTCTCTCGTCTCATTTTATTGTTTTAGAATTGTTGTTATTTCATTTTGTTGCAGATAAAGTTCCTGATGATTGGTTTCTCGCATCAAATGTACAGCAGTTGCGCTCCTTGGACAGGTCTTTTGTTTTCTCTGGTAGCTAGATCCTCAAACCTTCTTACTGCAGTGATTTCCTCGTTCAGGTTCTCTCTCAATTTATGTGACAACTTTTTTTCTTAAGGTGAACAACTTCGTTTGTTAGTGTGCTTATCAGCAGCTAAGCATGATGAAGAAGTCGCGACTCCATTAATAGTTTCTGGGTTTATGTCAAAAAATGAAAATTCTACGCAGTTTAGGAAGCATCAGAATGAGATTTCATTCAGCACTTCCGCTATCATTGCTCAAGTGAAGGAGAATGATATGCTTGCCGCAAATGTAGGTCCAAGTGAATGCAGCGATCAAGCTTTGCCTAGTTGTGAGGTGGGTCCTGGGCAGGATGCAAACATAACCAAAGCCTTGCTTCAGAGTGAAGATCATGAGCTACGGATAAAAACATTGCTGCAAAAATTAAGCTTTTCAAATTTCTTTGTAAGAGTTGCAGAATCTGATGAGCCACTGTGGTCTAAAAAAATTTCAGCAGAATCATCTTCAACTAACTCAGATATGGCTGGAGGGATATTCCATGCAAAAGATGGTGCTCCAAGAAAAGAAAGCCTGAGTGCAATTATTGATCAAGGAAGTTTCGACTGCTGTGCTTCTGGTGGGGTGGCTAGAGACGTTAAATGCTACTGCTTGTCAAGTGGTGACATAGTGGTATGTCAATAATTGTTCAGTTTTTTTTTTTAATATCATTTTCAAAATTGGTTGAGATAATGCAAAATGGCTAGATTAGACAATCGGCCGTTCAAAGTTGAAGTGGATAGACTTCTTCTCAAAGCATTAAGTAAACTAGATTTAACTTTAAAGAGAGGACTTGGAGTGATTGATTAATTTGATTTGAGGAGGATGATTTAGAAGAAAGTTTCTACATGGTTAGGAGAGGCATGCTAGTGCTCGAGTGATGCCTTTTTTTTTTCGATTGTGATAACAAAAAATGGTTTTACAAAATTCTTGATAATTATGCAGCACTGTTGTACTTTTTAAAAAGATATTTTATTAAATGCATTGTCAATGCAAGCAGTTTTTGGCAAAAGCAGGATTAGGGAAGGCCGGATGCGGGTTACTTGATAGGAACGAGACATGTTTACATAAAATATTAAGCCCAAAATAATAGATTTTATTTTTCCGGTACAAAATGAAAACGATACAATTCCGAATACATACAAGATAAACCTACAATTGGAGAGGTAGGCAATTTTCTTCGAAAACCTAATCCTAAGATTCAAAACAACAATCACATAATCTAACTCTAAACATATTAAGCCCTATTTATACCCCAACATTACTAACTAACATATAATTAAATTGCCCATTTACTCTTGCGCCTCACACAATTCTTCAAATTATTTGGCGAGCTTGGCATCGACTTAGTGGAGCACAAGGTGGATGGCGTCGCAGGAGCCCGTCTATTATTACCATTTTTTAAATCTCTCTAGTTTGGTTCTGGCTGAAACAAGCTGCAACAACTTCCAATCCAGCAGTTTGCTTCTCCCTCCCAATTCCTATTTTGGAATTGTTGATATTGCAGGAATTTCAGCCGCCAGCACCTGCACAAAGGAGAAAGAAATTGGCAGATTAATTGATCAAGGAACATCTTAAAGAATGCCAAAAAAAAAAGGGAAATAGATGATTGGTTAAAAGTCATTTTCTAAGATTAAAAATACTAGCAAGAACAAAGAACAACGTCACCTGAGCCCACTAACTAGAACAAAGACCAACTTTGACTGAACCTTGACTTGAAAGAAGTGTCTTGGCTGGAATGTCCAGCTTCCTATCCGCTGTCACCAAAAGCATAGAATGACAGTCAAATTGATGCGGGAGCTTTCCTGCTGGATCGTGGAATCGATCCTGTGAACGCGGGATAGTGGAATATCACGCGGTCACAGGTGGCTGAACAAGGGAAACCTGTCAAATTTTTTTCCAACCAAATATTTTTCCTTTTCTTTTGATTTTTTATTCTATTTCCTTATTTCTAATTAGAATAATTTCTATTATGACACTATATATATGTTTGTTTTTCTGCTTGTGGGGACTTTTGGCTTTATTTCTGTATGTTGGAGATTGGATCGTTGATTTTATATCCTAAAGAGCATTGTATCATTTTTTATCTTGCAAGTGGTGTATTTATAGCTTGTGAAGATTAGGCGGTGAACTTCATCAACATCTGTGCCACACTGTTTCATTGTCTGCCTTGTTGTTTTTAGTCGTGACTGTCGTCAGGCATCATCTATCCCCATACAACGATTGTTGATCGCCCATATTTTCACTCTTTTACTATTCCTTCACCCCCTCCCAGGTAAACCCACTTCTCAAACACTTTTTAGGAACGTTAATATCATATGGTATCATAACCCGACAAACTCTAAATTTTTAGGGATTTATCTTTCACGTCCTAAATTAAAATTCGCAAAAAAAATCTCTATCATACCCTAACCATTTCTACTTCAATTCCTAGAACTAGCCCTTAATCTTCAAAAGATAGCTTTCTATCATACCCTAACCATTTCTACTTCAATTCCTATAACTAGCCCTTAATCTTCAAAAGATAGCTTTCTTACCTTCGCCAAAACATAAGTCTCAACCAACCTTGATTTGTCATCCTAAAACTGCTGAAACTCTAATCGGGAGAAAATGACACAATATCTCATAGGAGAAACACTCAAAGAGATGCTAGGAACTTATTATAAAGGATATGCAGGGAAAACTCCTTTCAATTGCTACTGAGACTTGTCGTTTTTGAAAAAAAGACAAGTCGGTGAGATCACTATATAGCCAAAACAATGACTTGTTGGATCGAGAAAAGGAAGTGAAATCCTTTTCATTAGAAATTTTCTAGTGACGAAGAACCAATATTTCTTTGATTTGATATAAAATATCAGATGAGAGTTTAGGAGGTTGGAGTAAATATTGACTTGCCTGATTTTTTTTGCGATCGCATGGATCAAGACAAGTTCATTTAAGTGCCTTTAGATAGTAGAACGGATCTTGGAATATAAGGATATTTCACCTTGCAGAAGGGTCAAGCTTGTCGCTATTAAGTTAAGGAAGCATGCTTTATTATGGTGGGATAACTTGAAATATATTTTGCAGCTAGAAATGAAGAGTAAGATAATCACCCGGTCAAAAGATGAAAAATAAATGCAGTGTAAATACTTTCTCTTATATTACCAATCGGGCTTGTTTATTAAAGTCCACAACCTATGCCAGAAATTTTCTTCTATGAAGAAGCACATGACTGACTTTGATCAACTCATACTAAAATATTTGTTGGTGAAACCAGAGGAGCACTCATCGACGATATATCTTTGAGGACTGAAGTCAACTATCAATGATATTATGTGCCTGCAGCCGTATTGGTTCCTGCTCGACGCAGAACTCGTAGTTGTAAAGGTAGAGAACAACAATATCACCACTCAACAAGTGACCATCACACCTTACAAGCAGAGTTCGACCCAAAGATCACGCAGCAAAAGTACACCCAGTGGAGCATTCAACTTGACCCTGCATAAGGAGGAACTAATCAAGAGTTGAGAAAATGTGGAACTATCAACACTCCCAAACTTGTCCTAATCAGGAAATATTTCAAGTGTCATAGTTTTGGACACATTACATTAACCTGCACAAACATGAGAATGATATCTTTCTTCTAGCAGGGAGCAATTAAAGAAAAAAAA